AAGATTCAAATTGTCGCGTTAACTTTTTTAAGTCACATTGTGTCATTCAGGACCTAAGCTTCGAGTTAAAGATTGGCAGTCAGAGGCGGACCCAGCACTAGGCTAGCCCCTGTCGCATTAACTTTTTTAAATCATATTGTGTTTTTCAGGACCTAAGCTTTGAGTTAAAGATTGGCAGTCAGGGGTGAACCCAGCACTCGACGAGCCCTCGCGGCCGCCCATGCTGGATCCGCCGGGACCTTTTTTTTTACAATAGATAAATTTTTTAGCTTATATAGCTGTTATTTCATTTCATTTTCAAACGTCTCCTTCAGTTGAGTTGGTTAGAGTTTGTAATTCTTATAAGATGTCTCTAGTTCGATTCCCTAGCTTGCAATTCATATATTTTTAGTTCTCCAATTTTTACCATTTTACAATTTTTACCAAAATTAATGGCAATAGGGACGGGGGAGTTAAACCCGTGATTATCCTTAAAAATTATTGGAATCCTTACCATTAGGGCACTTGCTGAGTTTGATATTATTGTTAATATAAATTAATATTAAGTTTTAATAGTTTTAATGCAATTGTAAAAATTCGAACTCGAGCTCTTCCTTTGAATTATAACTTGGCCATAATGTCCATTGGTGAGTATTTTTAACTTGTATAAAAAATTATATATGTTCAATTTGTACAAAATAATTTTTATATTTAAATTTTAGACTTTGATTCCCATCTTTTTTTAAAATACATTTTTCTCTCTTCTTTTCGACCATAATCTTCAATAAAATAATATTACACGTAAATTCAAAACTTTTCCTTATTTTTAAACACACATTCTCCAGCAAATCACTATTCTAAAATGCATTTTCTAACAAAAATGGGCTCATGAGCTCTTAATATTTTATTGCTATCGACGGCCAATTACTACCCGTGCTGACTTAAAACCCCGAATCCGTCACTGTTGGCAGTGCTAGAATAGTGTAAGTTCTCTACTACTTTAACAACAACTTTCTTAGTGAGAAACAAGCATAAAGCTTTCTAGCATTATTTCTCCCTGTGTTGATGAGCAAGTAATGCTTTGGCATCTTAGACTAAGACATCCTAGTTTTCTCTATTTGAAATACTTAATTCCTATTTTATTTGAACATGTGGATTGTTCTTCTTTGCAATGTGAAAGTTGTTATTTATCTAAGAGTCATCGCACTACTTACAAACCAAAAACATATTGTGCATGTTTTACTTGATTTATAACGATGTTTGGGATCCCTCAAAAATTACAACGCCTTATAAGAAAAAATGGTTTGTAACTTTCATAGATGATAATACTCAGCTATGTTGGGTATATTTGATAGATCAAAAACCAAAAGTTAAAAAGTTGTTCAAGATTTTTTATAATATGGTGGAAAACCAATTTCAAACAAAATAAAATACTTCGCACTGATAATGGCATCGAGTATTTCAATCATGTCTCGGAAAATTTTCTAAATAAAAAAGAAATTCATCTTCAATCTAATAGCAGTGATACCCATCATCAAAATGATATTGCTGAAAGAAAAAATAAGCATTCACTGAAGTTACACGTGCTATAATGTTTTTTTATGCATGTACCCAAGTATCTATGCAGAAATGTTGTTATATTGTATTTTGAAATGTCACATTAATAGAATGTTTCAGAAAAAAAATAATCCAGAGTATCGACTTATCTCTAAACTACCACTAAATTTTTTTGGATGTATTGTGTTTGTCCACTTACCTAGTAGGCTTCTGTAGCGACCGCGAATTTTTCAA